GTCTTTTTGTGTATTCTTTTATGTTGAAAGTACGCATTTCCCATGCAGAGGTCATTGTAGTCACAAAAAGACGTTAATCTTTCGCCATTGTCGCTGAAACGGTCAGCAGATGTGAACGGTCCAATGATCTTCTCGAATGTGCTTCTGTCATTACCGAGTTGAGCATTAAAATCTCCAAGTATTATTTTAAAATCTCTTCGTGGTGACTCATCGACTTTTCTTGGAGTTTTCGTAGAATTCATTTTTCACTTCGTCGTCCGCAACATCTGTGGGCGCGTATACTTGTATGACCGTAATTCGAGGTATGTCTGGTCACGAAACGAGCTGTAATTATCCTTTCATTCACCGGTTTCCATCCGTCTAGAGCCCTGGTCGCCTTTTTGTTTAGAACAAAACCAACTCCTGCTTCGTGCTTTCTTCATGGCCAGAGTAAAGGATTGTTTTGTTGTCACTGTTCACTCTACCATTGCCTCTCCAACGGATTTCACTTATTCCCAGTATATCAAGGCGATATCTGTCAAATTCACGAAGCAGTTGCAAGATTGCCAGTTCTGTTCAATGTCCGTACGTTCCATGTGCCAATGTATGTTTTGTTTTTGGGTGAGAAGACCGAACTCAGAATCGGGGCATCCGTCACAAGGCTGAAACCCAATCTCCTCAATTCAGCAATATCACATATATTCGTCGTTTCTGTAGCAACAAGGATTTTTTACGGCGGAAGGGTTGCTAGCCCTTCGCACCAACCCTCCTCCTTTCTCATCCGGGCTTGGGACCGGCAACGGCGGAGTTCAGGGGAATGAGACCCATATATTTTGCTGTTTTCGGCATATTGAAGGCACACGAGTAGCTTGCCAGGCTCTGTCGTGTGGGCTAGGATAGACCTCCAGGTAGTTAGCCACGCTATCTTAGTTTTTGGAGGCGGCCCCGAATCGCCTCCCATGTACTTCCCAGTCACTTGAATGCAAGCTTTTGGCTGTGCCGACATGCAGGATACCAACCGCACACACACAGAGCGCACCACACACGCAAGCATGCATGGATACGCCTGAGTGGAGACAGCTGGTATGAATGACAGCACCGGACTGAAACAGGGAGTCCATCGCGCCACGTAGCTCGCCACTAACCGACTAGAGATCTTTCAGTGAGAGAGGACCCTCAGTGAGAGAGATCCGTGGCATGTTGCGATAGCGCGAAAAATCTTTCGACGAAGGCCTGCTTTCGTTCCTGCAAGCAGCATCTCTCCTAGTCGAATCCAGTAGTGCGTATGTGTATAGCTTTACCCAAGGCCAGAGCTATCTTCATTAGTCCATCATTTTTGTCAAGAGATTCCTTTGATGCGAAAGAAGAAGAGAAATCTGAATCATGGTCACACGGTTCGCCTCCCCAGACTGGCGCAACCCATGTGGTGTCAATGGCGAACATCCTGACCTATAACCGAGATCACATCCTCGATAACCGTTGAATGAATGCATCTAAGCGTTGTTGTTAACCCACAAGCTGGTATCTATGTCGCTGCCTCCGTTTTATCTAATCTGCGTAAACCGCTATCGTTCATCATCTACTGCCGACAGCAGCCCGTGCCTCACTTCGAACAAAACACTCAGTTGCGAAGCATAGGCAACGGAGCACCATGCTTGGCCTGATGAATGACCTCTCTCCTAAATACAGCACAGATGTTAGTGCAGCAACACCAGCGAAGTAGCTTTGCAGGAGCTCGAAAAATAAAATAGGTCGAAGAATCTAACGTTTCTGCGACTAAGATATACACGGCGATCAAAATTAGCCACAACAATTAAAAAGGGTTGTGATATGTTTCCAAAGAACTTTGTTCGATGTGTCGCAGAATTCTGGACAACCTAACATCAGCTCACTGTGACTGAATCCATTTGCTCACAGCAATACAAGGACACTGTTAATATTGCATTTTCCAAACGCCTAGAAGCAAAAGTTTTGCCATGGTTCAATTTTCGGGTTCTCCGTACGGCAAACTACTACCTCCTAGATCTTTCAAGCCATCGTACGAAACAAATTGTGCCATATTACCTTTTCTATTCATCCAGCGCTTTATTATGGTGAGAAAAAGCGACCCAATCACCGACGCCCGACTACGGCTATCCCGACCGCAAACCCCACGCAAGTCCTACATACGAAAATCGATTATGAAATCTGTTTCCAAAGAGATCTGTGCTATTCAGCAAAGGCATCTAGGTCTTCTCCTGCTCACTTCGTAACTACATAGCTCCACTTTCATGACTGCCCCCCGGTGCTCTGTGGTTTTTCTGAGTGGCACAGCTAACAGTTTCAGTAAAATACCAAAATCCCTCGTTCTTATTCCAGCTGGCCTTCACAAGATGACTGTTTTTAATGCTGTCAAGATTTTTGTTCCTTCATTAATGTGCGTAATAGGCAAAATATGACGCATCCTGAAGCACAAGTCCCGAGCCTGCACTTGCGAAGCACTGCGATGAGCGCATACACTGCGGCTGGATTGGCGCCGCAATGCGGTCCCACGCTGAAAACCTGGCCAGAGTGAGGTTGTTACGGCGACAGTCCGGTCATTTTTCGCCACCGATGTCTCATAAATTTGCTGGTCTAGTAAATTCCCCTCGCTGACGGCTGTAATTCACTTTTTGTGTTGTTTCATTGTTAAAATAAGTAAAAGAAGGTCTTCTGAAGGGATTCCCTAGTCTATTCGACTGCAAACTCTCCTATTCTTGTAATTCACCTCCTTACTATCGATTAATTCTATCCTTTTTCACGGCTTTGTCGATAAAAATTCACAAACCCTTCATAGGTGACACGTCAGCCATCGTGGACTTGTTTTTTGGCTGTAATTCGTGGAAGCGGCCTTGAAGCTCGTTCAGACCTCTTTGGAATGTATACTGCATAATTTAACGAAAATTCCTCTCTCGAACAGGACTATGAGTTTTGACTCAGTCAGTGAAGAGTCCAATTCTAACGACATACCGGCGGCCTCTGTGAAATCCTCCAACGGTCGACGAGTCTCAAGGGAGCAGCCAGGTAAGTTTTTTTTTAAAAAGCTGAATGTGTAATTTATTGCAATAAGATTTTAGATGCTATGGAGATATCGCCGAGCTCATCGCATGAGCGTAGATCGCGAAGAGGATCGAAAGACAGAGAAAGGACGCCAAGTCCTCGGTACAGATCACATAAGAGGAAAAAACGAGAACGAACGCCTTCTGCATCACCTCCGTTTGATCGCGACCGTGGCACCAGGTGTGCAACTTTTTTTGAAAAATTTGTTTGTTCTTTGGGTTTTTGCGAAAGTCCCTCAGAAGCTTTTATGTTTCCGCAAATCCTCAAAAACCGGGCCACAGTTGTAACTTAGTCGAACTGATCGTTCCGGCCTTAGGCCGCATTCATAGTCGATCGTCTGATTGCACAATATGGGAACGTATCGATCTCCAGCCGTGCCCGAGGATTGGACGATCGATATGTATCCAACGCTGTGCGATCGTTAGAATCGGACAATCGAATTATAGCGTACCCTTACGCCTAGGCTCACATGGAAATATATTGCGTGGTCCTAAAAGTGGTTTTTCCAAGCGAAAAGTTTTCTACTGAAATCCGAAGCATTCACATCATGTCATATGGCGTTAGAAGAATTTTGTCAGTTCTACAAAGTGGCTAACTCAAACTCCACACGCTAAGAACACATGTAGTTTTTGGTCTACGAGATTGGAGAACCAGTAGTCGAAAATTGGTCAAACCGACAACTGGCTTCAATCTCCCTAAAGAGCACTCCTTACATTTACTTGGTTATGACATCGTTTCAAGTCTGCTCTAATTGCCTTCGCCAACAATGGCATCGTTCCTTTGTAACATTTGGTTTTTCCGCCAGAACTCATAGTTAAGCACTATCTCTTTAGTGGACCCAAAATTTCGCAGTTGATGGCGTTTGAATAACTAAGTGGAGTTGTTAAGAAATAATCAGACAAAGTTCGAATGTATGCCTGATTGATTTTATCCGCTATTTACCATTTACTGCCCCACAATGTTCATGGAGGGTCAAGAGCATAACTCGGTGTCAGCATAACTCGGTGTTTTTCATGGGGCATCCCAGTTCTTGTGCACGAAACGAACCAAAATTCCTACTTTTTCCACTATTTTCCTCACACATATGTTGGGGTAGCACCCCTACGATGTTCATAGCTTTTAAGACTTGCTAACCAGCTCACCAGTTATCATAAGCTAGTTTTAGCCACGGTTAGGGTGATGGTGTGCTAAAGGATGCGGAGTGTATAAATTACGCAGCTTGATGTAAACTCAAATAATTTTGAAAATGAAGAAAAAATCTGAACGAGTAAGTGCACAAATGTGAGTGGTCGCGATGAAGCTACGAAAATTGAGCCCGTTGCTGCAGGCCACATTTCCTTCCCATTCGACATCATTTATCAAGTTCCGTCCGCCTTGCCCTCTTCCTCTTTCCTCAAAACTATTACCATCGTTTCTTCTGTCCATCTTCTTCTCGTAAATTGTCCTGTCAAGCTATTCCTCCCACTCCATTTGCACAATATTCGCTGTACTTTTTGCTTTTCAGTATCTTATCATGAACCCTTTTTACTAATGGATACCTTGGTGTGTCCAGGCAACGTCGTTATGATTTTGCCATCAAGCATTGACGATAATTCATGCCTCCTGCCTTCGAGCAAATCTTTTGCGAAATCATTACATTGCGAGTATGCAGCTCTTGATCTGCGGGTGACGTGCGCCTGAATTATACACCACGTTTATTGAGCGCGCTGTCTGCCTAACTACGGTTTGGTTTGCTGCGGTTTGAAAAGTCGATAAGCCGGTCATCGCTCTTGCTATCGTCAGCGCTTTGCCTCTCTGAAACGTGTAGAAATTAAAGAAACTACGGGCGCTCTTCGGAAACGTTGCCATATCCTTCAGGCTCCATACCAATTACTGTCCTTGCAGACTAATGCGATCTCACAAAACTACAGTATGAGAGCACACTATGCCGTTTGCGCTCCAGCTCCGTAATAGTGATTCAGCGCGCAGTAAATTTCAAAGTTCGTGCATTTAACTACCCGGTTATGAAATCTGGAAATCCATTGACAAATGCGTTTGAAATGTTACGCAGTTGAAATGAACTGCGACGCTGAGGCACCACTCTGAAAGAGGGGTTATAAGTAAAGTAGCGCATATGGTACTACTAATGGGAGTGGTGGTACGTCATATTATTGCTCAAGTTGTATTGTGACAGCAAAATTCAGTCAAGGCGCAAGCCGAGCACGCCACCTTATCGCATTAGCGAGCTTGGGAGTCACTTGATCTCCCTTGGACCTCACGTTATTTCGTCCAAGGTTGATAGTCTTCAACCTAAGCACCCTTCAATTTTCATATGGCATAGCACCGTGATTGCTCTCATATATGCAATTCTTAATAACAACGCAAGGAAATTTTGGGAAAAAAAGCTTCCGTACCTTATCCTCATTACCATCGGAAAGTGAAGGTTTTCACTGGTACTGCTGCGCTAATTTGCCTATCTGCCCATTTACCTATTTAATCGAAGCGGCCGCCTTCGTCAAGTGACTCGTGGCCGGAACAAGAAAGGTCATATTAGCCATATAACGTCTGCCCTTCTTAAACTTTGTGGATGGTTCCCGTTTCCAATGACTCGACCCATGAAACACAGTAGTATTGACGTCATTTTTGGAAAATCAGTTGTTCCGCTGGAATGTCAAGCCACAGAAGCGTACAGTGCTTTCATTAGCTGCAATCTAACATAGGATGTACTGGACACAGGTTTTTGCGGAATCCTTGTTGGGCTTACTTGATACTGCTCGGAACACACGTCTGATTTGCTCTCCAATCTCAAATTAAACTTGCGTTCTTTTTTTTCATCAAATTCGCAACTTATTTCAGCCGGCGGTCAAGATCTCGTTCTCGATCTCGACGGGATCGGGACAGAAGTCAGAATGGAAGAGATCGTTTCAAAAGGCGAGAGCGAGATGACAGGAAGAGCAAGAAAGAGAAACGGAGCAGGTAAATTGAGTCACAATCTTCCACTTTCCCTAAAATCGGTCACGCAACTCTGCGATTCGGGCACTACAATATTGTGCTGTCGCTTTTTTGTAGACAGAGAATTTGTGTGGTTCTGTAAATGGTGATTTCTATCTTGCTCAAAAACAGGCGTGAAAGATCTCGTACTCCGGTGAGAAGGAAGAGCGGGAAATCTAGAAGAAGACGGTCTACCAGCAGTGACAGTAGCGACGACCAAATAACGTATGTTGCTTTCATTTCTTTCTTCTTATGTAGCATGGCTTGCTTGAACTGGGTCGCGTGTTTAGGAGTTGGAAATGCAAGCTTTCCGATAGCATGTAAATGCCATTTTTCTTTGCCTTTGATCTGCATGTTTTGCATCAACTAAAAAAGTCAAGCGGAGTATTGTTTTTGCTTCAACTTCTGTCGTGGTTGTTCACCCACTAATTTCACTAATTTCACTATGACGCTCTTTTTGTCGTAATCGCTGTGCTCACCTCCGTTAGATCGAGCTCCGCTTGCCCGCCCGACTGGAGACCAGCAGGACTGATCAACGCTGTTTGACCCCCGTTTGACTGCTTCCGATAGCTCTACTTCGAATGAGGTTTCGATGCGCATCCCGGGAAATTCCTCACTTTTATATGCTTTGTCATGATTTTTTGGGGAGATACTGCTTTCGAATAGTTCATTCTAATCATATTTTGTCAAGGCATTGTGACTATCAGTGGTCGTTCAAATTCTCAATGTTTCCAGTCTACGCGACAGGACGACTTTGTTTGGTGAGCTCGTTCGAAAGCATGGCGACTCGGCTGATGCACTAATCAGGAATCGGGATAAACATCGCAAGATGAAGAGAAGAAAAAGGAATAGTTCATCAAGTTCTTCAAGCAGTGACGTACGTTTTTGTTATTGAAAATTTTCAAGCTTTCAATGCACTATCTTTTCGAAGCATGGGGAGTCATGTTCAACTTTTATATTTTGACGTCATTGGAAGCGTTTTTTCTTTTCTCTTTTACGTAATGGAACCTCTTTCAGGATGCGAAAAATATTGATAAGAAACCTGCCACAGTGCCTATTTCGATACCGGTTGCTTGCCCTCCTCCGACATTCCTTGACCCTGCAACGGCGCAATATTATCAGTTGGTAAGTTGATAGGTTTTCTTCAAGAAGCTTTTATAATTCTGGGCTTATATACATTGTATTTGACCGAAAAGGTGGAGAAATCGCAATAGCGGGGTGGTTAGTCGGGGTGGCGATGACAGTAAGGATGTGGTGCGGTCCGCTGACGTAAGGAGACGTAACTTGTGGTTTGTTATTACTAGATGGTATTCTTTGACCACGCTATGCACCATCTTAATTAGATGTGCCAGTTGTGCTGACGACAAATTCATTTTATGCATATTTGAAGCGGCCTAATCATGTTGACATCACGAAGCTTCAAGCCAGTATGCCGAAGCCTTTGTTTGTTCTGAGCCTTGCATAGAACAAGTTTCGTGGACCAACTTCACAAATGTGCATGTGAAAAAAGCGGCCTAAATATAAATGAAGTTCGACGAATACAAGTTAGTAGATCTGGTTGGTAACGGCTTCCATGTGGTTAGTGGACAATTTCCAAATCATTCGAGGCCTAAGCCCCTCACCTGCTGTTTCCTCCGCTATCCGGTACCCCGGCTTTCGGCTAGGGGCCGTACTTTTCAACAACCGTGACACTGGTAGAATTCATGAAAACGTGAACAGCATCCACTGGTCAATGAACAAGGCATTTAGATAACTGCAAGTGGCCTCGTCGTCCCAGTTGCTGTTCCGCCTCCACCTTCTATATCCGGTATGCATCTACCTCCTCCGCCAATTCCTCCTGTTCCCGGTGCATCGTGCTCTACAGATACAAAGGTGCGTGTTTTTTTTCAACGATCGCATTGATGGTCTATGTCCTACGCATGAGCTCACAGAGTATTGGGAAGAAGAGTCTGACCACAAGTAAGCTACCTTTTTTCTAGGTGTTCCACTTATTCAATTATCTATCCGTTCCTAGATTTATCTTGACCCTTGCGGACCTAGTTGAGTTGGCTAAATGTGGAACCTATTGGAGAAATATATTGTGGGCTTGAGAAAGTTGCGAAGCAGTAAGAATTGGGGGGAGGTGGGGTAGGATTCCAAATCATTAGAAGTCTTCTGAGACTCAAAAATTTTTAAACTACTCCGCTCAGCGAACGATCTAGATCTCAGATGCTCAGGGAGGGCGCATTGCTTTTATCCACAAAAGGTAATGAACTTTATTCTTTCATTAGAAAAATATGGATTTCTTCCTTGTACTTTGGAAAGGCACACAATCATTGGACCTAAGTTGTTGGGGAAGGGAAACGAATGAACCAAAATGGTGGGGTTTAGTGGAGTGTAGTTTGTTTCTTACATCCACCTCAAAATTTCGGGGCAAGCGAAATAGTGGGGACGTGGTTGTGCCATCCGAGCAGACTAATGGGAAAATGTCTATTTCCGCCCCATGGAATCCTGAGCCTACGACTTGAATCTTCCCCTTCTGCGTGTGTGAGAATATAATGTGGTATTGCACGTATTTCTTGAACGCCTTTCAGAACATGGCAGTTCCGCCTCCTGCGACCATCATGTTGCCGTCTCTGAGCAGTATACCTGTTCCTCCTCCTTTGCCACCTCTTCCACCACCCCCGTTCGAAGCTGCACCGCCTCCTCCTCTTCCGCCTCCAGGATCCCTGACCTCGTCTGATATGAACGTTGATCAAACGATGCCTTCTGGATCAGGACCAAGTTGCTCCACAACACAAACGCGTTCTGGATTACCGATCCCGAATGTCTCCAACTTGAAGAAAAGAGGATTCGATCGTCCAACGTATGTTTCTCATTTCTAGGTTATTTTCTTGATATTACTTTAACTTAAAACGCGTCAACTTTATTGTTTCCAGGGTACTCAATAAGGTTCGAAGGGACATTGATCTCTCTCAGGAATGGGGAAGTGGTTTTGTTGAAAAATATGAGATTTTGTATCAAGTTGGTGAAGGTACCTACGGGCAAGTTTATAAAGCAAGGGATAAAATAACTGGTTAGTTTTCTCTTGTTTTATATTTTTTATCATTGGCTCAACACAATATAATAATGGCTATTGATTGGTTGAATACTATTTCAGGTGAACAAGTAGCCTTAAAAAAAGTGAGATTGGAAAACGAGAAGGAAGGTTTTCCTATTACTGCTGTGCGCGAGATTAAAATATTGCGGCAGCTCAATCACGCAAATGTTGTAAAGCTGGTAGACATTGTTACTGATAAACTGTCCGCGGCAGATATGCGTACAGAAAGAGGTAGGTCGTACGTGCCGAATTGTGTTGGTGATTAATATCTCATAATTATGAAAATTTCAGCAAATTTCTATTTGGTGTTCGAATATGTGGATCATGATCTTATGGGGTTGTTGGAAGCCTCGCATCTCGTCAATTTTCATAATGATCAGATTCGAAGTCTTTTCAAACAGTTGATTCTGGTACGTGTTTTTATATCGCTTCACATTCATGAGGCTCTCTTACGGCTCTTTCTAAAGCAAAGTTTGAGTAAATCTTGAGTGTACCTGCTAATTGCTGAGCCTCAACTGCTTGATTTTGGTTGTGAAGAAGTGTTGTTTTTTTAAACTTGCTTTTGTTCATTAATGTTAATTAAAAGCTATTTTTGAGTAAAACAATGTTTCAGGGTCTTGAATACTGTCATGCTGCTGGTTTTTTGCATCGCGACATTAAATGCAGTAATATTCTTCTAAACAATAGGTATCTTTTTTCACTTTCAAGGTTTTGTTATTCAATATGAATGGCCAAGATACATGAGTCGCACAATAATTTCGGAAAAGACTGCCGATTTGTATATCTTTTGGAATGCAGTGAAAACAGAAAGAATTTGTATTATCTAGATGATTTAACTAACACTCACTCAGCACAGTCTTGTTAAGTTAATCGGTTTCGTATACTGAAAAATATCCTAAATCAATTCTTCTACGAAAATAAAGATTTTCTTGTTTTTTTTTTCTGTTGCGGTTTCTTGTCTGCAAATCTTATTTACAGAGGAGAGCTCAAGATTGCTGACTTTGGTCTTGCGAGATATTATTCCTCGGATCAAGAACGTCTGTATACAAATCGAGTGATCACTTTATGGTATCGACCACCTGAACTTCTGCTTGGTGACGAGCACTATGGTCCAGCAATTGATGTTTGGAGCATCGGGTTTGTTATTACTGAGTAACTTGTGTGCTCTCTTGTAGTCAAGTTCATAATAAAGATTATGAAAAGTTATTTTTCAGCTGCATACTTGGTGAATTCTTCACGAGAAAGCCTTTATTTCAAGGGAATAACGAAGCTGCGCAACTGGACCTCATCTCAAGGGTAAGCCACTGCCTCCTTTCCCAAGTGGAAGTTTTACTAGTTTGAGATTTGTTCAGGTTTGCGGAACTCCCAGTCCGGCGTGTCACCAACTGGCTCCCAGCTACGCCTCGCCCGTCAGAAACGCCACCCTCGCCTCTTCAACGCTGCCACGCGATAAGTAAACAGTTCTGTCAGGTGTCTTCCGCGCAAGAGCTCATCCTGTCCTCAGTAAGTTCCTTTCGTATTTGAGATAGACCTCCTACGATGGCGGCTCAGCTTGGCGTTCTCGCTACATCTCACTTGGAACGCAATGCCTGCTAACGTAATTCGATAAGCTGCGCCATACTTTGCTCAACCGTCTCAAATTGGAAATTCGGATTCTTGAATTCCTCATCCCATGGATCTCAAAGTTGAAGTATACCAAGTTAGCCATTCTTTCGCGAGCGTGTTGGAAAGTTCCCCGCCACGTCTACTCGGTTTTTCCAAAGTGTACATTCGCGAAAACTCACAAGTACCTTTGACGGTTGAAAAAGTAATTGAAAGTAGTGCAATAGAAAAAAAGCCGGCGTAGAACACGAGAGTACTGTCCTGTGTTCATGCAATGTTTAACTTTATTTCGCCCGGAACATAATTTGTAGCCGGCTTGCACAATTTAGCATGCTGGACGGCGGGCTGTTCACTTTTCACTCGTGTTAGTGGCGCGTCCACCTTGTATGTTTGAGACGAAAGCGATGTATTTTCTGCTATGATATTAGAAGTCAAGAGAAATAGCCTACTGCGAGATCCCAATCCATTACCTGAATTTCTTTTTTCCACGATTTGCCATTTGCTCCCTTTATAGCCCCGGTGCGTGCGTCAAGTAGCAGATTTCTCTAATGGACAAAATGCTGCTACTCGGATCTAAACAGCGCCGAATTTCCGCTACAGGCATGCCACTACAGTCATTTCCCTTCGGTTAAGACACTCGTACTATATCTACTGTTTCCTCCGCTCTAAGACTGCGCCCACCATCCAACATCAGTGTCACGCCTAATCTGTCCTTCTTCTTCATATCAGCGAATCAGCTAACGTCGAAATTATTTTATGCAAGCAGTCGTAAAGCTCCAAAATCGCATTAGTGGTTTTATTTTTACGTTAAGGCTGCAAAACTTGATGACTAGAGCTCGCTAAAAAGTTGTTGAATTGAAAAAAAAAAACACCATACACAAGGCTTCAGCAACATAATTTGAGAATCTGAAAAATACCGGCAACCACTGTCACATACTTGTCTTTTGCAAATTGCCCCGCGCCTCTGCCTGCCTTAGACACGCACGCTACCATTACCCCTCATCACCTCTCCTGCCCCAAGCCCGGAGATAATGTCGGGGCGAAGTGAGGAGAAGGAATTCTCCGATTCCGTCTCTTGAACCACTCCCTTAAGTAAGCTGAATTTCTGAGACGTGTCGCTTTCTGAGCTGTGGCCTCCCTGCCCCGCCCCTTCTACTTTTTTCGTTAAGACAGTCGATGTGCGCCTTTTCTTGCTTTCCAGAATCTAAAGTTGTTCGGCCACAATCTGTCGCGCCTATTCCCTTCTCAGTCCACTCTGATACATTACTTTTCCTAATAACAATCTGTTACTGCGTCTCTAATCTGCAGAAATAAAACAACGCCACACCGCAGGAAAGCCTTGAGTTTGCCAGTGCGCACCTTAAAGATGTCCCACAGCAATCTCCCCTCACGAGAGACGACCCCGAGAGAAATATTCCATAGGTTGGATTTGTGTGAACAGTGCCCGGTTAATATTCCGACTACTTTATTGTTCAAACTTTGCAAAAAATATTGTAGAGAAGTTCCGATGTAGGTGAACGGACTAGACAGTGCAGTTCGATATAGACTCGTTGAGCGCCCGGCTCTCCAGGCTACGTAATTGAATCACAGAGGAGTGGAACTATTAATATGAGTGCGTCATTTTCCGTAACTTCACAGAATTCCCGTTCTTGATTAGCTATTCGTTCAGAGGGGGTGCCGCCCCAGCATAATATGAGAAATTCACCAACCTGCTTTCTGCTGATCTTTACGGCTTTGGTCATCGCCATCGGTTTGTGGCAGTAAGAAGCACGCAGGACAGAAGGCCGGTCTCAACACATCCCACGGAAGCAACAGTCGAAGGGGAACAGGTCCTTCCCGCCATTGGAATTGTCCGGCTTGTTCGCCTCCGCCTACGCTGCCTCCTGCCAGTATGACTAGGCGACGGCAAATTCGCTGTCTCACAATGCGTCCCCTATTGTCAATCAGTCTCCATCAATCCCACCGTCAGGCCACGAAGGTCTACCGATATCTGCTCAATGCCGGCAAGTTATTTTTTATCTGCAGGTACCCCCCCCAGTATTCCACTTACTTTCACATTTTTTCAGCTGTTCGACGCAGCTATCATCGGCTGCCCCCTCGGCTGTATTGCAAACATCAGACACAACACAGCTGGTGAGGCTGCTTCAGTATACTAGTGAAGCGGACGATGTTGCCATACTCAACAGGCTTTCGGTATGAGTTTAGTTCTAGTAATGATGTCAAATAAAACCACTTGGTCTTCGCCTGCGCTCCTTCTCGCTGTCCTACGATTGTCTTCCTTGATCACTATAGCGCCAGTCGCATAGATCCATCGCATATTCCGGGATATGTCGTATTTTAGCAGTTCTGCTCAAGTTGTCTGCCTCCTGGCTGATGCGCGCTCCCCCCGATCAAGGAGACGATTGCTCTGCATGCTCCTGTTCAACATGGACCATATTGGTAGGGTTTATTTTTCTGTCACTTTAGCGGCTTCTTGTCCGTACGTATTACGTTTCACCATTTTCTATTTTTTTTTTCAAGAACATATTTTAGTAACGTGGCTAACATTTTGGAAGCTTTTCTTTCATTTTGTTAAACTTTATCTTATTTCTCGTATGCCATTATTCGCACGAATTCTATCATTTTATTCACGTGAATTTTAGGAGCTTGATTTAGGTAGAGGTTCGTCGTCAATCAATTTCGTTCCTGGACATCCTGGAAATGTTCTACAGCAGATGCCTACAACTGCTAATCCCATTGAGAATTCTAGTGTCTATCGAGGTGTCACACATCATCCACAACCACCTCCCTATAGATGACAAAGACACTATGTTCATGTGATAATAAGGTAATGTGCAAACGGACCAGAGTTCTTCCTGAAATAACGCTGTCTTCCTTAATCGACGCAGTACTACCTATTCGGAGATGTGCTTGTGATGTGCTGTGATTGATTGATTTGTCATTGTTACGTTCAATTTAAATTCCACTTGTGCGATGTGGTTCAATAAGTTCTGCATTGCAACTTGCGACACCATCTTCATTCGTGGCTGTCGTAGAAGCTAGAAGTTAACATTATACGGCATTATGTTCTGAGAGTTCGTGAAATAGATTTCCTATCATATTTTTATTCTCCTTTCATTACATTGACCTAAACGCATTGTGATGCTGCAAAGTACCCTGGTTTACACATTATCGAAACGGCTGAACATCTCTAGGTTTTGACGAAGACGATCCTCATGGGCACGCGTATTTGATTGCGAGATTAATTCGCATTCTCTTTTCTGCAGTACTTCGTTGATTGTGCTGAAAGGGGTTATTCTGGAACAATGAATCAAGCTGCACTCACAGCCAATCTTCATTTGGCCAGGTCAGAGGGGTCGGGGAAGTGTTATGATTTGGCAAGGTGGGATTTGGTGTGTACTTCTATTTGGTGTAGATTAGTTCTTTTTGGATGTAAAACGCATTTTGCATCAGTTCAGAATTGTTGTGGGAAAAATTGTTTTGAGAGTTATCTGTCCCATACCATGCCTTGGGTGGGCCAGCCAAGTGTACGACTAAGCAGATGGAAGGCTTGGGTGGTCTGACTGACGTAGACCCATGATTTGATAAGTACCAATGAGCGAAAACAGCGGTACTTCCTCTTGCTGAACCTCCGCCCTGGAAGCGATAGAAAAGAGGGAACTTCTCTCTTCACCGGGGAGAGCGAAGTTCAAACAACATTGCATATGCATATTGTGTTTCTTTATGCTTACCACATTTTTAGGGTTTTGTGAGTAGGGGCGAAGACGGGGTAGATAAAGGAGTTCTACGACGTATACTGTCTGTAACATTGGCCATACTTGACTATGGTTGCGCTGATTTTACAACCAACGGTATTTGGGCCTAGATTTAATAGTACGTATAGTCGGACTTCTTACAGCTTGCAATAAGTTTTGTTCGACTTCTTGTTTTCGTTGGAAAATTCGCACGCTGATATCTCCTCTCTCTCACAACAGTCGCATGGGTCGTTTACGCAGTGAAAACATGTATTTTCCACGTAATACATCGTTTTTGTTTGGATTCACTTCTTTGTTAGTGTTCGAGGCTTGCAAGCCTGTCCATATTTAATGTTCATTGAATGGTCCTGAGCCATATGCTGCTATCTCTATTCCGTCTCACTTTTTGCGTTCCTCAAACTTATATTCTTTATTCCTTTTCCTGGTGATTGGTTCAGAGCGCTTACAATAAGAGGCACGGCGATATTTGTGATGCCCATTATGGAGCAGGTGGTTTTCGTTCATTCTTGACTTCCACAGCACCACCTAGCGTTTGTACGTTCGTATCAATGGCAAAACCCCAAGGCCGCCTTACTGTTTCATTTTGATCTAGTTCACATTAAAATCTCAGCATTTCGACAGCTAGTCCAGGTACTGGAGCTTGCACAAATTTATTGTTTTCTTTAATGGCCAGAGGAAGGCTATGCTGCAACAAGTTTTATTGCGCGACTGGTCAAGCTATGGAGACAATTAAGGTCGTTGAGTAATTTTGTTTCCGCCATGATTCTTGTTTAGTTGTGAACGCCCTCATAGTTTTTTTTTTCAACACCGTTGCGTGAAAGTCGAGATCGAACTTATTCCTCACTGAATTCCTTCTCAATTGCACTATTACAACCCCAGTAGGGCGAGAAAAAGTTCTTCGCTAAAACTTCCTATGGGGTTATGGGGTCCTGATCACGAATATGACATCATTTTTGGCGCTGGCGCCAAATTGGCGCCAGGTGGCGCCACGACTGATTCTCACCAAATTCGCTGTAAACTTCTGTATAGGGGTTATTTGGGGTCCTGATTACGAATATGACATTCGTTTTTGTTGGCGCTATTCGGCGCCTATTTCCTGCTCGTCTGCGCCCTCGCACTAATTAGATCGCAATCAGGACTAAGCCTTTGAATAGTGGAGGGCTCCAAAGTGAGTAGGCCACTCCCCTGTGGTCTATACACTCCAACTTTTGCCACACGGTGCGTGGTTTACCCACTCCGGAGTCTCATCTCCCTCCACTAAGCTTAATCTTAGGCGCTATAGGTGTCAGAGCTTTGGCGCCAGCGCCAAAAATGGATCACGAGCCTCGATACCCCCATTGGAGAAGTTCCAGCAAAAAATATTGACCCATCTCACCCTCACCGGGGTTGTAATAGTGCAAGTGCCTCTCTTTTATATCCCAGTAGCTTTGTTAACTTTATACGTTAACCTGGTAGTCGTAAAAAAAAGGAATAATCATATCATAGCGACAGTCAAGGTGCTGTAATGTAGGTACTAGTTCACCCTTGGTTTTTGAAGTTTTCTTGATGCAAGCTAATATTCTTCTTGGTAACGAAAAGTCTTACTCATGATGCCTTGTATGGATAGAAATAGATGGGATTGGTCAATCCCCTTTTGGGATGTGTCACCCAATTACTTCAACTTAGAACCATTGTGAATGCGATTTGACCTATGCAATGACTTGCAGGGTCTAGCTGATGCACAAGCCTGTTGCCCTACCGGGCGGTATTCAATCCTTCCCCAGGGGATATATCCCCCTACACTGATTCAGTCCTCTGGGGGACAAAAAAGGGTGGCGTCATGGGACCTAGCATACCTCTGTGTTTTTATACTACTTGCCAGACAGTTAGAGCAGCGCGACCCCTCAGGGAAAAGAGTGCTTCATCAGTGGAGGGTAGTAGCGCTGCTCTAACTGTCTGGCAGGTAGAAACACAGAGGTATGCTAGGTCCTATGACGCAACCCTTTTTTGTCCCCCAGAGGATTGAATCAGAGGAGGGGGATATATCCCCTGGGGGAAGGATTGAATACCGCCCCAGATGGGCGACGGTCGATCGCCCGAGCACTCGTAGTAACGGTGTCACTTGTACTACATATTCCATGTCGGCCCCATTGTGAAATCAAATTCATATGAAGGATTTGGGACATGGTCATTTGTAGGTAATCAGAATTGGTTTTTTTTTTCTATGATGAATTCTAATACGTTAATTGCTTTGTTTACTAAGACAATTTTAACCAGCTCTGACATACAAGAAGGTGCGAAAATTGGGCGACTAAATCACCATTCAAATCCATTTTGCCTGCAAACGCGCTGCTGTGTTGAAGGGCGATGTACTTGGGTCTTCACGAAATGTACCAATATTATATGCTTACAAGCTTAATACAAGTTAGGGAAGGTCCCTAAGCGGCTCGCGTTTGTGGGTGTAGCGCGTCTGTGCAGATGGCTCTCTTGAAAAACGTTACAAAATTGAAGGCGAAAACTATTTCGTCCCAATTTAAAGAAGGATACCAGTCTTTCGGGAAATATTTCTTTTTTCTCTATTTACAACTTTAGACGCTGATATTTTCCTTCCTTTCCTTTTCTTTCCTTTTAGCAGTCTCTATTTGCCCATCTTCAGATCCGTTTGACGCTTGTTTATTGTAGAGGCGCTCTTGTGTTCTTTTCTTTCTCATTTTGCCGTTTTTAAGCTCGAAACCTCATCAAATGAGAACTAATTGTATTCTTCTTCTGTCGTCCTCCATGTTGAATCTATGGGTTTGTGGAGAAGCATTAGCTAAATGTCTTGTAAATAAGGGTGTAATCGTAATCACTGCTTCATTAATATTGATACCGTTAGTATTGGTTTTCATGCCAAAAGGCATTTCTTGGGCTGACAGATGGGCTGCCAGTCCGACCAACTATTTAATTTGATGGCTTATTCCGTATGAGGATGGACAAATGGAATTCTTGTCGATGGGTGAAACTCTACAGATCGTAGCACATGTTCCTTGACATTATTCCAGAAAGATACTTGATTTGATTCAAATAGGCGATTAGTGAACGTTATCATTAATGTGATTTATTTCAGATGGTTGCTGACGAGTTCCTCTCACTGGTCGGTCTATCGGCATCTAACCCTATTTTGTGTGTTTTTGATGTCAGCCGGATTTGCTTGTGTCTATTACGTTTGTACTTATTCACGAGTAACGCATTTATTGGGAATGATGTTGTTTATTAAATTTCATAAAAGTTATAAAGAGACACGAATTGTAAACGAGAAAGTCATCACCTTTCTAAATCTGACAAATTTCTCGTAGGAGTCTCATAGATTGTAACCGCTATTAACGTACGTATTTGATGTACATGAAAGGCGACAAATGTTTATCATATTAGTTGTATGACATTGTACTAATCACATCGATTACCTTCGGTGCGCCGTTGTTCCTCCAGGTGTTTCCAGGGATTGCCTGTCATTGCTGGAATCACATAAGCACGGATATCCACCTCCTAAAATCGTAAGTGTTGTATTTTAAACTAATCTTTAATTTAAAAAACTTGCGCATTCTCATGGGGTACCACTACATTGTCAAAATCGGGATTTAATTTTATTTCTGCTGTAAAATACAAGATAGACTCGTGTCATGAGTAAGGATTACATGACTAGTTGAATTTTATGTTTTCTACTGAAAAGGTCCAGGTGCATGCGATCTGAGGATTGCGTCTACTACAGTTTCGAATGGTACAGGCGGAAGATTTCTGCATTATATAGGGACACGTGCAGGGAATATGGGATGTGCTTCTGAAATAGAAATTGGTTCATGGTTCGATTCCCTGTGGTGACAAAGTTTTGCATTCTCGATTGACGCTCGCAGGATGTCTCAAAGCAAAACCCGCTGGAAAGGGTGGCGCCTGAGCTTTTTTAACACCTTTTTTCAGCATATAGAGGGCCGCCGTAACCTGCATCATTAACAAAGCGGTTCTCAAAAAGCGGGCACGACCTGAATGAAGTTTCTGGTAAGGGGGGAGGTGAGCGGGAAATGTGGGCCACATCTCATGTAGCACGTCAAATGGGTAAAGCTATAGCCTATTTACGCGAGGTAGCACAAACAAAGCAACGTATCGACGATTTTCAGAGGACTGAGTTCAAGTGGCTTTTAGACAATGGGAAAAAAGTGTGATGCCTCCAAAAAGACTACACGGTAGGCCACGTGTCGCGCACTCAAACGCGATGCACGAGTCACACTGAATTGGCTCTGAGCAGCTTGGTAGCTTCTGCGAGTTCTCCTGGACTTCGTGTACTTTTAATACTTTGCCACCAATTTTCCCTCGACTGGTAGATGTATTACAAATTCACTTCTATGTGACCTAATAACGTCTCCACGCTCGCTTTCTATCACTAGCAAGTTCCGCAATCTCCTGCCATGTTATAAGAATACATCTTCAGAGAGAGAATTTATTATGCGTGATTATGTGATCGATATCCATATCCATGATTTAAGGAGTGAAATTAATACTGGTTTTTAAGGAGGACTGTCATATGGCATTACTGTACATTCAGGTTAATGACATTCTCGTCCATAAAGTCCCTCAATTTTTTCTATGCTATGGATCGATTGCTAGAAATGGCATACTTTCGGGATGTTTTATTGTGAAAAGCAAGACGTGTGGGAACGAAGGCAACGCAAAACAAATGGAGATATACGAAGTGTAAGGAATAAGTAGCATCGCGGAAAGGGGCTTAGCGTGTGGGTGCAGTGATTGCGCTATACAGTAGTAATTTGGCCGGGAAACTTACAAGATCAAGCTCATTTTAGTATTTACAGTTTCAGTTCCAATCGCGCCGATAATATTACAATAGCAAGCTCCATTGTCAAGGTTACCCATGTGAAAAAAATTGGAATTACCTGTGTTTGTTGTCCAAACGGTCTTTTATTGTAGGATCCTGGAGCATGGCCACGAGGAGTACCGAAGGATTGTCTGTTGAAACGTCTGTTGGACTGTTGATTGCCATGATGAACGCCGTACCGCGGATCGGACCAACCATTAGGGTTACTGCGAACGTCTTGGTATGGACTCGGATATTGCTGACGTTCATTCGTGCTCGATCCTTAACACATTGCAAATAGCGGCTGGGATATTTTTCAAACTAAACTAGTCAGGTACTAAACGTTGTAAGGAAAAAGAAAAGGATGGAGGTGACGTTGCTGGCCAGATCACAAAAAGATTGTGGCCTTCGGTAAGAGTGTCGAGACAGAAAGATCTTTTTCAGTTACTTTCCTGAGATTTGGGCCCATCATTCGAGGATGACGAAATTACGTCCTCATCAGGAAATGCTCTTAACGAATACTCGATGTACTCGCCAGTTTTTTTAAACCACTGGACATGGCTACTTTTACATTCGGTCGAGGGTTGACTGAAACGCGTAAACATATGCTTACAAGTTCTGCGATGTTTTAGTGCTCCATTTTATGCTAAAGTATTCCAAACGTTCAAATGTTGCATTACACAAAGAGGCACCTAGCTCCATCTCCAAAGAACTTCTTTTGGATTTATTTTGTTTTTTGGAGTCATCTTGGGATCTTTTGGAATGAGCTTCCGGTGCATCTTTTGTGTAATGAAACATTTAAATTCTGAAGGCGTTCGGACAAATAATACTAAGAGATGTCCCAACCTATTGAAGCAACGCTTAACGCTTAATAGCAACGCTATCCAGCAAGCAAGATAGATTCCTTGTCCTTCATCAATCTTGTTAGGACATGGCATGCATTCGACTCATTCAAAATCGTTGCGATTAGGACAGCTTTTATTCTCCTACGAGCCTGGTATTATTTGATGAACCTCGGAGTGTAGAAATCAAATTGGTATAAACAGCGCTCAGAAGGAAATTTTATCTTAGAGCCATTGATAAAGAAAAACTTCACGCAAAGGAATTATACATACATGCATGCAGCGCCAGTGACGCTTTCACTTTTTCCCCGTTTGGAGTACTCTTTCCATTCTCATATTACATACATGACTAGAAATTATTGTAATTTTACCTCTCCAACTCTGTCCACCTCTCCATGGTGAGCGTTGCCCTTGACTGCGACCACGATTCGGAGATGGGAGCATAGGATCCATTCTGAAACTTTCTGGCTTTTTGAAAATGAGAGCACTAATAGTGAGGATTTATAGAGGTGAGAGGGAATGTTATGAATTCACCTTAACTGAGCAATTTTCCAAGGCATGATCCAGTGCAACTAAGGGGCCTTGTGTTTGATGCGTTGTGATGTGTGATATCTAGGCTGTGGTGTGTCCCTGAGGAGTGAGGGAGTTCTGTGGCCCTGTGACCTATAGTCTCAGGGTATGAGTGCTCGCTGATCATATTTACTCGCCAATATAGGTTATACCTTTCACAGTTTACCTTTGTTTTTCTGGGAGGTACATGGATGACTGATCAACTAATCAGAGATGAAACGGCAATCCTTTATTAACCTCTACAGGACGCACTATGCATTCTATTCCCGCCCATTTTTGTAGATGCAATTGAATGCGCTCCTTTAAGTGATACAAAGAATTGTGCGAAAAATTACTCATCTCGATCACTAGGTCAACGGTCAGAGCTAGCATTTGTTCCGCTTTGTTAGCTTGCATCTGTCGTTTGCTGGAGGGGGAGGGTTACCTCTAGAGGGTTCATTAAGCTGTTTGTAAGAGACTGTAAATGACACCTTTCTTACTGCTATGGACTGCTATTGGTGATAATCCTTAGTTGAAATGGCGATAAGATACGCGGAACCAACTTCAGAACAAACACCTATCAACGCTCGCAGCGCTAATGGACGTGGCCGGTGGCGTGATTTCTACTCTAGCCTGCGCTGTCCAGTCGATATAGCGGTTGCATGCATGACTGCGGTAATTGCTTTCCCAGAAAATACCGCTCAACTATGGTCAGTCATGCGTTTCCTGATTTCTGCTATTGTCTGTGCATCCTTGCTAAGCTCTATAACTCATCAACTAGTGAAGCCACACATTTCAGCACTGTTATACATCCAAGGTGCCTAGTCCTTATTACTGCGTATCCGTTAAGCTGGAGTTCTCAGTTACTAAGAGAATTAGTCGAACGCAGCTATGATAACTAACTTCCCCTTACAGCTG